CTACATGGGGGATCTTTGTCTGTGCTCGCTAACACTTGCCCCAACAGTTTGTTAAAGACTACATGGGTCATCTTTGTCTGTGCTCCTAAACAACACTTGCCCCAGCAGTCTGTGTTGAACGCTACATGGGGGATCTTTGTCTGTGCTCGCTAGCAACACTTGCCACAACAGTTTGTTAAAGACTACATGGGTCATCTTTGTCTGTGCTCGCTAACAACACTTGCCCCAACAGTCTGTTAAATACTTCATGGGGGATCTTTTTCTATCCTCGATAAGAACACTTGCCCCAACAGTCTGTTAAAGACTTCATGGGTCATCTTTGTCTGTGCTCGCTAACAGCACTTGCCCCAACAGTTTGTTAAATACTACATGGGTCATCCTTGCCTGTGATCGCTAACACTTGCCCCAACAGTCTGTTAAAGACTACATGGGTCATCTTTGTCTGTGCTCGCTAACAGAACTTGCCCCAACAGTCTGTTAAAGACTTCATGGCGGATCTTTGTCTGTGCTCGCTAACAGCACTTGCCCCTACAGTCTGTTAAAGACTTCATGGGGGATCTTTGTTTGTCCTCGCTAACAGCACTTGTCCCAACAGTTTGTTAAAGACTACATGGGTCATCTTTGTCTGTGCTCGCTAACAACACTTGCCTCGACAGTCTGTGTTGAACGCTACATGGGGGATCTTTGTCTGTGCTCTAACAACACTTGCCCCAACAGTTTGTTAAAGGCAACATGGGTCATCTTTGTCTGTGCTCGCTAATAACACTTGCCCCAACAGTCTGTTAAAGACTTCATGGGTCATCTTTGTCTGTACTCGCTAACAACACTTGCCCAACAGTTTGCTAAAGACTACATGGGTCATCTTTGTCTGTGCTCGCTAACAACACTTGCCCCAACAGTATGTTAAAGACTTCATGGTGATCTTTGTCTGTGCCGCTAACAACACTTGCCCCAACAGTCTGTCTTGAACGCTACATGGGGGATCTTTGTCTGTGATCGCTAACAATACTTTCCCCAACAGTTTGTTAAAGACTACATGGGTCATCTTTGTCTGTGCTCGCTAACAGCACTTGCTCCAACAGTCTGTTAAAGACTACATGGGTCATCTTTGTCTGTGCTCGCTAACAGCACTTGCCCCAACAGTCTGTAAAAGACTACATGGGTCATCTTTGTCTGTGCTCCCTAACACACTTGCCCCAACAGTCTGTGTTGAATGCTACATGGGTCATCTTTGTCTGTGCTCGCTAAACAACACTTGCCCCAACAGTCTGTTAAAGACTTCATGGTGATCTTTGTCTGTGCTCGCTAACAACACTTGCCCCAACAGTTTGTTAATACTACATGGGTCATCTTTGTCTGTGCCGCTAACAACACTTGCCCCAACAGTCTGTCTTGAACGCTACATGGGGGATCTTTGTCTGTGATCGCTAACAATACTTTCCCCAACAGTTTGTTAAAGACTACATGGGTCATCTTTGTCTGTGCTCGCTAACAGCACTTGCTCCAACAGTCTGCTAAAGACTACATGGGTCATCTTTGTCTGTGCTCGCTAACAGCACTTGCCCCAACAGTCTGTAAAAGACTACATGGGTCATCTTTGTCTGTGCTCCCTAACAACACTTGCCCCAACAGTCTGTGTTGAATGCTACATGGGTCATCTTTGTCTGTGCTCGCTAACAACACTTGCCCCAACAGTCTGTTAAAGACTTCATGGTGATCTTTGTCTGTGCTCGCTAACAACACTTGCCCCAACAGTTTGTTAAATACTACATGGTCATCTTTGTCTGTGCTCGCTAACAACACTTGCCCCGACAGTCCGTTAAAGACTACATGAGTCATCTTTGTCTGTGCTCGCTAACAACACTTGCCCCAACAGTTTGTTAAAGACTTCATGGTGATCTTTGTCTGTGCTCGCTAACAACACTTGCCCCAACAGTTTGTTAATACTACATGGTCATCTTTGTCTGTGCTCGCTACCAGCACTTTCCCCGACAGTCTGTTAAAGACTACATGGGTCATCTTTGTCTGTGCTCGCTAACAACACTTGCCCCAACAGTCTGTTAAAGACTACATGGGTCATCTTTGTCCGTGCAATGATGCAACCCTCGCTAAGGAATGAGGTTCCCCACAACCCTGTGGGTTGGTGGATCACGTCGAGATTTGTAAAGCTCACAAACCTGCTTAGGACGCGTGCGAAGTTGGCCACGAGAGAAGAGTGGGGGGGGGGGGTGGGGGGGGTGGGGGGTGCACGTGGCTTCGTGAACCCATCTGTGTGGACCTGGGAGTTCTTTTTAGCATCCCTTGCACGTGACTTGGGGTCGCTCCCGCACGGAAACGACTGGCCCAGAGGGGGGAGGAGGGGTGAAGGGTGAAGGGGAGGAGGAGGAGGGAGGGGGCGAGGGGGGGAGGGGGTGAAGGGGGGGATGAGGGAGGGGGCGAGGGGGGAGGGGGGGAGGAGGGGTGAAGGGGGGGGATGAAGGAGGAGGAGGGAGGGGGCGAGGGGGGGAGGAGGGGGTGAAGGGGGGGAAAGGAGGAGGCGAGAGGGGGAAGGCGAGAGAAGGGGGAGGGGGAAGGAGAGGAGGGAGGAGGGGAGTAGGGTGGAGGGGGGAGGAGAGGGGAGGGAGAAAGGGGGAGGTGGCAAGCGGAGGCGGGGGGGAGGCGGAGAGAGTGAGGAGGTGAGAGGAGGGGGGAGGGGGAGGACGGGGGAGTTGAGAGGAGGGGGAGGTGAGAGGAGGGGGGAGGTGAGAGGAGGGGGGGGGAGAGGAGGGAGGAGGTGAGATGAGGGGGGAGGCGGAGGAGGGGGGAGTGAGGAGGTGAGAGGAGGGGAATGTGAGATAGGGGAGGAGGGGGAAAGGAGGAGGGGGGGGAGGCGGAGGACGAGGAGGGAGTGAGGAGGTGAGAGGAGGGGGAGGAGGATGAGGCCGCTCTGTGATGACGACGCCGTTACATCGATGGCGGCGCACGCCCCCTGGGGTGAAACTCGACAACCAGTGAATGAATATCTCAGCGGGATCCTCTTAGACACAAGTCTCCAGAGACTCGGTGGGGGGCAGAGGGGGGTTGTTCCCCTGGATAGGGGTGGTTATTACTGCGATTATGAATGCGTACGTGAATACACTCGTGAGAATTTGCGCGTGTGCGTGTGTATACATCTTTGGATTGCGCACGCTTCATTACACTGCAGGCGATTAGTGAAATGGACAGTTAATACGTCGTCAACACGTTTAAACGAAACCCAATTAGCCCTTTCCCGTTCCGATGACGTACACGGAGCACGTCATCATTCCGTTCCGATGACGTACACAGTGCACGTCATCATTCAATTCCGATGACGTACACAGTGCACGTCATCATTACGTTACGATGACGTACACAGTGCACGTCATCATTCCGTTCTGATGACGTACACAGTGCACGTCATCATTCCGTTCCGATGACGTACACAGTGCACGTCATCATTCTGTTCTGATGACGTACACGGTGGACGTCATCATTCTGTTCTGATGACGTACACAGTGCACCTCATCATTCCGCTCCGATGACTACACAGTGCACGTCATCATTCCGTTCTGATGACTTACACGGTTCACGTCATCATTCTGTTCCGATGACTACACAGTGCACGTCATCATTCCGCTCCGATGACTACACAGTGCACGTCATAATTGTGTTCCGATGACGTACAAAGTGCACGTCATCATTTTGTTCCAATGACGTACACGGAGCACGTCATCATTCCGTTCTGATGACGTACACAGTGCACGTCATCATTCCGTTCCGATGACGTACACGGAGCACGTCATCATTCCGTTCTGATGACGTACACAGTGCACGTTATCCTTCCGTTCTGATGATGTACACAGTGCACGTCATCCTTCCGTTCTGATGACTACAAAGTGCACGTAATCACTCTGTTCGATGACGTATACAGTGCACGTCATCATTTTGCTCCGATGACGTACGTGGTGTACATCGTCAAATCTAAACCGGAAGAGAAAAACGACAAAATAAATCAGAACGTGATCGGTGCAGAGGCTCCCACAAGGCCGTGCGGGAGGGGCGTGCGGCACAGCGGTGGCGCCGGCTATCGTAGAGCGGCGGTGGTCGTGTCGCCACGGTTCTCTGCGGTGAGCAGCGACGTCTTTAAACACAACCGCGCTGCCGCCGCTGCTGCTGCTGCTGCTACGCCTCTCCAGATCAAATTAGCGCCGAGCCGGTCGCGAGTTTCCAGACTCAGCGGTGAACGGGACACACACCAACCCACCCACCCACCCACCGGCTTGATACTTGCAGACGTCTCGGAACGGGAAAGGGTTAAAATTGACCGAAGAGCCGCATGCACACGTATGCATGTAGAACGCATCCATTCAAAGCTTTCGGCTAAAAACTCTCGTTGCAAATGAGACCGCGTGCAGCGCTGATCTCGCACACCGCCAGGCAGCCAAGGGGATGGTGGGGAGTGTCCGCAAGGGGGCCACGCCCGGTGCGGAGATGGAGCGACGGAATTCGGCTGGCGACCAGGCGTCACATCGCTGGATCGCGTGGCAACCTTCATCATCGTCACTATCCACGATCGTCGTCTTTGTCATCGTCGTCGTGATTGTCATCATCATCGTCGTCGTCGTCGTCGTCGTTGTCATTGTCGTCATCGTCGTCAGGGATGATCGATCCGCCGCTGGACGGAAGCCGGCCCCCCCAAAGCATCCGGCTGGGATGCTTTGGGGGGCGACGGTGATGGCCACTCCTCGCCGCCATCACAGCCGAGCCGGCAGCCCGGAGGTGTCCGCTCCGGACTGCGTGGACGCGACGGAGCACTCTCTCTCTCTCACTCTCTCTGTCCCTCTCTCTCTCACTCTCACTCTCCCTCTCACTCTCTCTCTCTCTCTCTCCCTCTCTCTCTCTCTCCTCTCTCTCTCCCTCTCTCTCGCTCTCCCTCTCTCTCTTCCTCTCTCTCGCTCACTCTCTCTCTCTCACTCTCTCTCTCTCTCCCTCTCTCTCTCTCACTCTCTCTCTCACTCTCTCACTCTCTCTCTCACTCTCACTCTCTCTTCCTCTCTCTCGCTCTCCTCTCTCTCTCCCTCTCTCCCTCTCTCTCTCGCACGGTTTGCTCGGAGACCGCCTGGGACTATCGCTCGCACGGTGCATGGCGATCATCGCGCAAGGAAAGTGCCGTTTGCTGTGTCACAGACAAGCCCTGCGGAGGGTTCTCGGGGAGTGAGCTGACGCTGCTGCTGACGCTGCCGACTCAGCTGCTGATGCCACTGCTGCTGATGCCGCTGCTGCTGATGCCGCTGCCGTCACCCCCAAACGCGGGCGCTGCACGGTGTCAATTTGTCAAGTTTACCACGGGGACGTTAGCCCGCGCGCGATGGCCTCGCACATTTCTGGACGGCGCCCGAGGGTTAGCCCCCCGCCGCGGGGCCGACGGCTCGCTGCGTCACCGTCACCGCGCGTGGCACCATCGCCGAGGGGGCGGGGCCCGGCCCGGCACACACGGGCCGGCGAACCGCCCGCGGCGAGCGGCGGGCGCCCTGTCGATGCTCGCCGACCGACAGTGTCGCGAGCAGGCGACAAATAAAATAAACCCCGAGACGGGAGGCGGAAGATATCGCGCCACCGATTGGGGCTCGCGGCGCCACGGAACGCCGGTCAGCGGCGGGCGTGCGGTGCCGGCGCCGGCGCCGGCGCCGGCGGTGGCACCGGCGGAGGATGCCGGGGGGCGGCCGTGGCGCTCAGCTGGGCATAGGCGGCGGAGCGCAGGAAGCGGGGGTACGAGTCGCCCTCCATGAGGCCGCGGATCCGCGCCTGCGCCGGGCGGAAGGCGCCCGGGGACGCCGGCGCCACTCGCAGGCGCTCCGACACGGTCGCCCGTGTCATCGCGTCCAGGTTCACCTGGAGGCGTGGGCAGTGGGCGGGGACACGGACACGGACACGGCGGTGGTGGTGGTGGTTGTTGTATTGGTGGTTGTAGTGGTGGTTGTAGTGGTGGTTGTAGTGGTGGTTGTATTGGTGGTTGTAGTGATGGTTGTAGTGGTGGTGGTTGTAGTGGTGGTGGTTGTAGTGGTGGTTGTAGTGGTGGTTATCACGGTGGTGGTTGTAGTAGTGGTTGCAGTGGTGGTGGTTGTGTGGTGGTTGTAGTGGTGGTGGTTGGTGGTGGTTGTAGTGGTGGTTGACGTGGTGGTGGTTGTAGTGGTGGTTGTAGTGGTGGTTGTAGTGGTGGTTGTATTGGTGGTTGTAGTGGTGGTTGTAGTGGTGGTTCTAGTGGTGGTTGACGTGGTGGTGGTTGACGTGGTGGTGGTTGTAGTGGTGGTTGTAGTGGTGGTTGTGGTGGTTGTAGTGGTGGTTGTAGTGGTGTTGTAGTGGTGGTGGTTGTAGTGGTGGTTGTAGTGGTGGTTGTGGTAGTGGTGGTGGTTGTAGTGGTGGTTGTAGTGGCGGTTGTAGTGGCGGTTGTAGTGGTGCTTGTAGTGGTGGTTGTAGTGGTGGTTGTAGTGGTGTTTGTAGTGGTGGTTGTCGTGGTGGTTGTGGTGGTGGTTATCACGGTGGTGGTTGTAGTGGTGGTTGTAGTGGTGGTTGTAGTGGTGGTTATCATGGTGGTGGTTGTAGTGGTGGTTGTAGTGGTGGTTGTAGTGGTGGTGGTTGTAGTGGTGGTTGTAGTGGTGGTTGTAGTGGTGGTTGTAGTGGTGGTTATCACGGTGGTGGTTGTAGTGGTGGTGGTTGTGGTGGTGGTGGTTGTATTGGTGGTTGTAGTGGTGGTTGTATTGGTGGTTGTAGTGGTGGTTGTAGTGGTGTGTGTCGTGGTGTTTGTTGTAGTGGTTGTAGTGGTGGTTGTCGTGGTGGTTGACGTGGTGGTTGTAGTGGTGTGTGTCGTGGTGTTTGTAGTAGTGGTTGTAGTGGTGGTTGTATTGGTGGTTGTGGTGGTGGTTGTATTGGTGGTTGTCGTGGTGGTGGTTGTGGTGGTTGTAGTGGTGGTTGTCGTGGTGGTTGTAGTGGTGGTTGTAGTGGTGGTTGTAGTGGTGGTTGTATTGGTGGTTGTCGTGGTGGTTGTAGTGGTGGTTGTAGTGGTTGTTGTAGTGGTGGTTGTAGTGGTGGTTGTTGTGGTGTTTGTAGTGGTGGTTGTCGTGGTGGTTGTAGTGGTTTGTGGTTGTTGTAGTGGTGGTTGTAGTGGTGGTTGTAGTGGTGGTTGTAGTGGTGGTTGTTGTGGTGTTTGTAGTGGTGGTTGTAGTGGTGGTTGTATTGGTGGTTGTATTGGTGGTTGTAGTGGTGGTTGTATTGGTTTTTGTATTGGTGGTTGTACTGGTGGATGTATTGGTGGTTGTGGTGGTGGTTGTCGTGGTGGTTGTAGCAAGTGACATGGCACGACGCAACGCGGCAACCTGAGTTCGATTCCCGCTCACGGCCGACACCGGTGACGCTTATCTGAAACGGTCCTGAGCCTCCCCTAGGTGGACTCAGCCTCAAATGAGTACCTGGTGCGGTGTGCAGTAAACATCGCCACTGGGCCCTGGTGCTGGCCACCGAGCCCCTGCCATGCCGGCCGTCACAGGAGCCACTCGCTCACGGCACTTGCCGTACACACGGGGGATCTCTGTCTTTGTGTCTTACACTGGAATTGAAATGTGGAATTTGCCGGTTCGATTCCAGCTGAAACAATGAGGGGGGGGCAGCTGAAACAATGGGGGGGGGGGGCAGCTGAAACAATGGGGGCAGCTGAAATAATGAGGGCAGCTGAAATAATGAGGCAGCTGAATCAAGGGGGCAGCTGAAACGGAGAAGCCAAAACAATGGGGGCAGCTGAAACAATTGGGGCGGCTGAAACAATGGGGGGCAGCTGAAATAATGAGGGGCATTTGAAACAATGGGGGCATCTGAAACAATGGGGGCAGCTGAAACAATGGGGGCAGCTGAAACAATGGGGGCAGCTGAAACAATGGGAGCAGCTGAAACAATGGGGGCAGCTGAAACAATGGGGGGCAGCTGAAACAATGGGGGGCAGCTGAAACAATGGGGGCAGCTGAAATAATGAGGGGGCAGCTGAAACAATGGGGGGCATCTGAAACAATGGGGGCATCTGAAACAATGGGGGCAGCTGAAACAATGGGGGGCATCTCAAACAATGGGGGGCATCTGAAACAACGGGGGCAGCTGAAACAATAGGGGCGGCTAAAACAATGGGTGGCAGCTGAAACAATAGGGGCAGCTAAAACAATGGGGGGCAGCTGAAATAATGGGGGCAGCTGAAACAATGGGAGCAGCTGAAACAATGGGGGGCATCTGAAACAATGGGCTCAGCTGAAACAATGGGGGCAGCTGAAACAATGGGGAGCATCTGAAACAATGGGGTCAGCTGAAACAATGTGGGCAGCTGAAATAATGGGGGGCAGCTGAAACAATGGGGGCAGCTGAAACAATGGGAGCACCTGAAACATTTGGGGCAGCTGAAACAATGGGGGCAGCTGAAACAATAGGGGCGGCTGAAACAATGGGTGGCAGCCGGAACAATGGTGGCAACTGAAACAATTGGGGCAGCTGAAACAATGGGGGCAGCTGAAAGAATGGTGGGCAGCTGAAACATTTGGGGCAGCTGAAACAATGGGGGGCATCTGAAACAATGGGGGCAGCTGAAACAATGGGGGCAGCTGAAACATTTGGGGCAGCTGAAACAATGGGGGGCATCTGAAACAATGGGGGCAGCTGAAACAATGGGGGCAGCTGAAACAATGGGAGCAGCTGAAACAATGGGGTCAGCTGAAACAATGGGGGCAGCTGAAACAATGGGGGCAGCTGAAACAATGGGGGCAGCTGAAACAATTGGGGCAGCTGAAACAATGGGGGAAGTTTTCTTTGGTTCTTTCGGTAAAGTCACGTAGAATGAGAATAAAATAATAATTTGATAAAATAAAAAACACAATAAAATTCTCACGACGTTTGGCCACAACACAAGCGGCCTTCATCAGGTGAAGGGACGAGACTGTCTGGAGGACAGCGCTGTCCTCCAGATAATTTTATTGTGTTATTTTATTTTCAATGTATTATTTTATTCTCATTCTACGTGACTTTACCGAAAGAACCAAAGAAGATGAATCTTTGCAGTCACGAAAGCTTTAAATCGAAAAATGGGGGAAGTCTCTAACTGCCCCCCCCCCACCCACCCCCATCCCCGCCTCTGTCCGCCCAGCAGAGTGAGCGGATAGGACCACAGCCAGCCAATCGGCAGGTGGCGTGCGGTGGCTTGGGCTAAAGTGTGGGTCCGCCCACCCCTGCCCAACGAGACGGCTGGAAGAGCAGGCTAAATAAACATGCCGGAGTGGAGGCCCTCCCCGCAAGCGTGGCATGACTTAGGAAATTGTAGGGCTGCACCTTTGTTATTGTTATTATTATTATCGTCATGATCAGCGACCGCCAGGTGGCTAAAAGGATTGTCTAAGCCCGGTGATTGCGGTGATTTGCTTATCTGTCCTGTACTTTGCACTCCTATCGTCTTGCTGTAACTTTGTGACTGGCCCCCTTCCTTGTGATAAGAAGATTCCTCCAGTCTGAATAAAGATGTGTACATCTAGATTGAAAACTCATTTACTTTCAAAATGCTTTTCGCGCGAGAATTTCAACAAGCACGCACGTACGTCCTGATCCCGAACCAACGTCGCTCAGAATCTCTCGATCAAGGCCCAAGCGATCGAACATCCACCCCCCCACCCACCCACCCACCCCCACCCCGGCCCCACCCCACCTCGCGCGGGGCCTGCGTGGCCACGAACTCGCCGTAGATCTTGCGGGCGTGCGCCGATCGGCGCGACGCCGATCCCAGCCGCTGGTGCTCGCGGCACGCCAGCCAGAACTCGAGGTTCTCCTCCGAGAACTCGCTGCGCAGGAAGGCGTGGAACAGCCGCACGCCGTCTGCTCGCCACGCACGCGGAAGGCAACGTCACAAAGGTGGGTGGGGGGTGGGGGGGGGAGGGGCGTGGTGGTGGGGGGTGGGGGATGGGGCGGGGGGGGGGGAGCGACGTCGCGTTTCGGACGGCACCGCGATCGCCGCGGTGCCGACCTCCTGGAGCGGTTTCGACGCGCCGGGGGGCCCTCATCGGCAGCGCGCTTGGTTCTGAGCTAAACTGACTCGAACTAAGGTTGGTTTTTTTGACAAGTAAGTGCCGAGGCGCATCTCTCATTTGTCAGAAGTGACCAGGCCATCGCAAATGGTAGCTCAATGAAGTGGCTCATCACCGTCGCCATCACGCGGAAATTTGCAGCAGCCAAACACTGTGAACGCGTCACGTTGGATTCAAAATGTGGAGGGTGTAAAACCGGAGGACCCGGAGGAAAAAATCCACGCGACCACGGGGAGAGAGACACCGCCAACTCCAGAGGCACGGCAGGCGTCAGGGTCGGGATCGAAACCGCGACCCTCTGTATACCAGGCGACGTAGTTAACATCTCGCCACCGCGGCGCACACAATACCGGTGAGCCGCCAAAAGTTTATAGGCACACCGCAGCGTTAACCAGGGCGGCCCGCCGGATTTGAACAAGCGGCGCCTCCTGTCGCGACAGTCCTCGCCGCTACGAGAACGTCGCGCGGGATACCAACGGTGGTGCGCCGTTATATGACCCATCGACGGGCCACCGGGATAGCAAGGGGAGATGTTGACGAGACTCACGCTTGTGAGAGAGGACGTTGTCGAAAGACTCGCTCCAGCTCCTCACCTCCTCCGCACTCGGCCTGTGTGACGAACGTGAACAAGGTCGGTATTGCTCTGTTGAGCTCGCCCACCACTACTGCTGAGCCCACCCACTACCCCCCCTCACTCCACCCACTACTACCCCCCCCACTGACTCCACCCACCATTACCCCCCGCTGACTCCACCCAGCACTACCCCCCCCTGACTCCACCCACCATTACCCCCCGCTGACTCCACCCAGCACTACCCCCCCACTGGCTCCACACACCACTACCCTCTACTAACTCTACCCACCATTACTCCCACCGACCCCGCCCAGCACTACCCCCCCCACTGACTCCACACACCACCACCCAAAGCAGCCCAACCCTGTGGCAGTGAGAAGGGGTGAGGTCTGCACAGGAAGGGGCGGGGCCTGCACAGGAAGAGGCGGGCTCTCCAGAAAATGGGGGTGGGGTCTAAAAAGGAAAGGCGCTGAGCCGAAGAGGGAAAAGGCAATGGGATGGGGCCTAGCGGGTAAGGGGAGAGGAGCAGGTCATGCCTGAGTTCAGATAACACAAGCACAGGAGAGCCGGGGATGTGGACACAGGCCAGATGGCGAGGCTTAAACGATGTTACGGTAAAGGAGGGGAGAGGAGGTGAGAGGGGGGGGGGTCTTGCCTGGAGGCCCGAGTGAGCCTGCCGAGGAACGTCTCCCCGTGGCCGGCTGTCGGCGTCGCCGATAGCTGCCCGTCGTGTTTCCGACGCAAAAAGCCCAGCCGAGTTTTTACGTCTCTGGCTCTGGAAGCGGGAAGGGGTGAGAAACGCGAGTGTGTGTATGCGCGTGTGTGTGTGAGAGTTAAACATTAAACAACAATAATAATAACTCGGTGAATGTGACCTTTACGTTTGTGCCGATTGTGGAATAAGCGTTGTATATCACTCAGATTATGCAAGTCTATGGGTCTCTATGTGAGGGTTTGGGTCCATATGTGAGTCTTGGACTTTCATGTAAAGCTATGTAAAAATATGAGTCTCTACATCGACCATCACCACCACCACCGACCACCACCACCACCCTATCCACACACCCACCCACCCGAACACCATCACCACCCACAACAATAACAACACCTGCCATTCACCACTAAGTGGCGGTGACGTCACCACGGTGCCTGTGACAGGCCAGGTGCACTTTGAGGGCAAGCACAGCATCGAAGTTTCTCTGCTGACAGGAGGTCTCGGGAGAGACCCAGCAGGTGCCATGGGTTGACTGACTAAGATGACTGCTAGATGCACCAGCTGTACTCCCTGCTGTGCCAACAAAGGAAAAAGATCCCCCATATCGCCTTCAAAACAGACTGTTGGGGCGGCAAGTGACGTTAGCGAGCACCTATGAAGGCCGAAAATAGCACACGAGGGGGTGGGTGGCCAACACCACGCCGGGCAACCTTTATCTCCCCAGTGGCGATGTTTACACACCGCACGAGGTACTCATTTGAGGCCGAGTAGACCTAGGGGACGCCCACGCCTGGTGCAGATAATCGTCACCGGTGTTGGCTGTGAGCGGGAATCGCACTCAGGTCGCCGGGTTGCGTCGCGCAGTGACAACAACAACAACCGCCATTCGCCACTAAGTGGCGGTGACGTCACCACGACGCTTGTGCCAGGCCATGTGCACCTTGAGGTCAGTGACAACACACACACACAGGCACACACAACACAGATGATAATGACGATGGCCTGGGCGGGGACTCTCACTTACATGTCCGTGGCTCGCCGCTTGTGCTTGGAGGCTTCACACGCGAGGTCTGCGCCGAGCCCCTGGCCGCCAGCGCCGTCCCCTGCACTGGCGTCCCGGTTCTGGAGCAGAGCCTCCTGATGGTGGCACCGACCCAGACACATGGCAATCCAGAATCATCACAACTCAGGCCACGTATGTTGTTTGTCTATGGATCTCTGATGTCAGTCTGTGGGTCTCTATGTGGGTTTATGGGTCTCTATGTGAGTGCGGGTCTAAATGTGAGCCTATGGGTCGATATGCGAGTCTTTGCTTCCGTTTTTCTTTAGAACTGACAACATATTTTTGTTTAGATTGAAAACTCATTTGTTTAGAGCTGCTTGTTTTTTTTTGTTTCGTTTGTCGTCCTTCCACACACCTCCTATTAGCACGGTTGGCTACGTGTGGTGCGAAAGAAGTTCAACATACAACACGTATAAAGAGGAATTCGTGAGTCTCTACGTAGAGCTATGGCTGTCTATTTGTTCATACTTACGCGATCCGGAGGTATAAATACCCAAGGGGTCGCAGGATTCTGTTAAATGTGACGTCAAGGACACGAGGAAAGTGAAGGCGGGGGGGGCGTGAGAGACAGGGAACGCCCAGGAGGGGAATGGTGACGTCACCGGATGAGGCGGTGTGATGGAGGCACTTCCTGGTGGGATTTGGAGTGGAGCGGTCGTACGCGGCGTGAGCTCGCATGGAAAAATAAAGATGAGTTGTGTCATCTCAACTTTCGTCTGGTCGACTCATTACACAGCTGTCTATCTGAGCCTACGGGACTCTCGTGCAAGTCCAGGGCCTAATTTTCTCCCGCGAAATATTTCCGGGGGCCGCCGGTAGGCCGGAGCAGGTTTTGCACGCGACTATTAATAACCACATCTCGTGTGCATAGCGGAGGCATACCGAACGTGGTGGTGCCGGGTGCGTAAAACGTAAGATTGCTGGCCGTCGTCGCCCTTCACCTTTTGGAAGTTGAGGAAGGGCGCGTAGACGGCCGGGTCGTCGCCTCCCATCGACGCCCTCCCGCTGGACAGGAAGTGCCGCCCCCCGGCCGCCTCTCGCCCGGCGTCCGTAGAGGCGGCGGCGGCAGCTGCGGCGCCCGCTCTGAAGTGAGGCCACGCCTTCCGGGCGGAGCCCCCGCGTCCGGCCGCCGTGGCCGCCAGGAGGTCATCCTCGCTGCGTGCACGACGCCACGCCGTTGCCGCCGCCGCCGCCGGGGCCTCCCTGCGGCGACCCGCACGCTCCGGTTAGGCGTTGGAGCCGGCGGTCTGGTCAAGGCCGAGAGGTTGCGAGCGTGCGACGCCGCTGACCAGTCCCAACAGAGGGGGGGCGAAACTGGCCTACCGCCAGACCCGGTCCGACAACGCTGGGTGGCACGGTCGCCGGAACACGATGAGTCGCCGCGGTGGCGGTGGGCCAATTCGGACTCCTCACCGCTCACCCGCGCACGCTATCGGTGCGGCCCGCAGCTGTCTCTTTGTCTCACTGCTGCCTGTGGTAACGGCTGCATTTACTCAAGTCTGTGGGAATCTAGAGAGCACGTGGACCTCTGTGTAAGTCTATGGGTCTCTGTGTGAGTCTATGTGTCTGTGTAAGCTCATGGGTCTCCATGTAAGTCTATGGGTCTCTGTGTGAGTCTATGGGCCCCTATGTGATGCAATGAGCCTCCGTGTGAAGTCTATGGGTATCTATGCGATTCAACTAATCTCTATGTGCATCTATGAGTCTCTGTGCGAGTCACTGGCGATCGCGCTCAGACCATCAACTCACTGCACTACAGAAACCCGGTTTAACCAGAGGCAGCAGCTGGAACCTGGATTCGAACCCAGGCTCTCAGTGGTGCGAGCTCCGTGTTTCTCTGACCTCCGAGCCACCCAGAGGCCCCCTCCTTCTCCTCCGCCGTGCATGAACCCCTACTGCACGTGACATGTGCAGTGAACACCCTCACCTGCGTCCCAGCATGCACGTCTCCCTGATGGCCGCGTGCTCGTGACGGAGCTCCGAGCCGGGCCCGACGTCCCAAGCGGCCGTGGCACTGGAGACCCGGCCGCGTTGCACCGCCTCCTCCGCCCTGGAGCCCTCCTCCGTCCTGGAGCCCACCTCTGTCCTGGAGTCCACCTCTGTCCTGGAGCCACCTCTGTCCAGGAGCCCACCTCTGTCCTGGAGCCCACCTCCGCCGTAGAGCCCACCTCCGCCCTGAAGCCAACTTCCATCCTGGATCCCGCGTCCATCCTGGGACCAACTTCTATCTTGGGACCGACCTCCGCCCTGGGACCCACCTCCACCCTGGGATCCACCTCCATCCTAGAGCTCACCACCTTTTTTGTTGGACCCACAATTGTTGCCTGAAGCTCAGCTGCAAGGAGCGATAGATCTGAGATCTGTGGAATAAGATTTCGAAAAGATGACTTTAGCAAACTGCTTGTTATGCATCATCATCATCATCATCATCCAGAAAGGTTGCATTCATCACAGCCTATGGACTCGCCCCTGCCTGCCTCTCCCCTCTCATCTTCAACGGACTGCTGGACTGAGTGCCGTTAGCGAGCAGCAGCTGTGAAGGCCGGCACGGCGCACGGCAGGGATGGGTGGCCAACGCAACGCCCGGGCGCCTTTGTCTCCCGAGCGGAGATGTTTACGTTTCGCGCCAGGTACTCATTTGAAGCTGAGTCGACCTAGGGGAGGCCCAGGACCGGTTTGGGTAACATTCACCGGCGTCGGTTACCGCGAGCGGGAATCAAAACTCGGGTCGCTAGGTTGCGCAGCGTGGCGTAGCGCGCTAACCGCTGAGCCACCGCTCTCGCGTTCACATGCGCTCATCGCTCATGAACACGCACACACACACACACGTAACGTACACACACGCACACACACATATACACACACGCGTACACACACACGTTCACACACGCGCACACACACACATACACACACGGGCACACACACACGTACACACACGTACACACACGCGCAACGAAATTGGCTCACGCGCACACACGCACACACGCGAACACGCATGCACTTAGCAAGCAGTCCCGGGGGGCATGCGTAGACACAGAGAAAATCTACACGCGCACTCACACGCACATGCACACACACACACGCGTCACATACACACACGCATCACACACACCCACACGTCACACGCACACGCATTACGCGCACGCACACGCGCACACACACACAAGCGCACACACGCGCACACACATACACGCGCACACACACGTTGCCACTGGGGAGACAAAGGCGGTCGGGCGCACACACACCCACACACACACACGCACACACACACTCGCACACACACACACACACACCCCACACACCCGCACGCACACACACACACACACACGCACACGCACACACGCACACGCACACACGCACACACGCGCACACACGCGCACACACGCGCACACACGCACACACGCGCACACACGCGCGGACACACACACACGCGCACACACACGCGCACACACACACACGCACAGACACGCACGCGCACACACACGCACACGCACACACACGCGCACACACGCACACACACGCGCACACACACACACGCGCACACACACACATGTACACACGCACAGACACGCACATGCACACACACACACACGCACACACACACACGCACACACACGTACACACGCACACGCACACGTACACACGCACACGTACACACGCACACGTACACACGCACACACGCGCGCACACGCGCGCACACGCACGCACACGCACACACGCACACACGCACACACACGCACACACACGCACACACACACACACACACACCACACACACACACACGCACACACACACACGCACACACACACACGCACACACACGCACACACACACACACACGCACGCACACACACGCACACACACGCACACACACGCACACGCACACACACACACACACGCACACGCAAACAAAGATCCCCCGTGTAGCCTTAACAGACTGTAGGGTCAAGTGCTGTTAGCGAGCACCTAATAAGGCCGGAACGGTACACGAGTGGGTGGGTGGCCAGCACCACGCCCGACTGCCTTTGTCTCCCCAGTAGCGATGTTTACACCGCACCAGGTACTCATTTGAGGGTGAGTCGACCTAGGGGAGGCCCGGGACCGGCTCAGATAATCGTCACTGGTGTTGGCCGTGAGCGGGAATCGAACCCGTGTCGCCAGGTTCATAGCGCAGCGCGCTAACCGTTACACTATCGCTCTCACACGCACACACACACGTACACACACACACACGTGCACACACACACGTGCACACACACACGTACACACACGTACACACACACACACGTACACACACACACACACGTACACACACACACACATGTACACACACACACGTACACACACACGTACACACACACATGTACACACACACATGTACACACACACACACGTACACACACACACACGTACACACACACACATGTACACACACACACACGTACACACACACACATGTACACACACACACACGTACACACACACATGTACACACACACATGTACACACACACATGTACACACACACACATGTACACACACACATGTACACACACACACATGTACACACACACATGTACACACACACGTACACACACACACATGTACACACACACACGTACACATACACACATGTACACACACACGTACACACACAACAACAACAACAACCGCCATTTGCCACTAAGTGGCGGTGACGTCACCACGACGCTTGTGCCAGGCTATGTGCACCCTGAGGCCACGTGAAGTGTCGAACGCCCGCTGGCAGGAGGTCACGGGGCAGACCCAGGTGCCACGGGTCGACTGACTGAGATGACTGGATGATGCACCACCTGTGCCCCCTACTGTGCCAACCTGCTGTGCTTTAGCCACCCGGCGCTCCGCTCGCTGTTGTGAGCGTCGCTCCTCCGCCCTCCGTTGTTGTTGGAGGGCGACTGCCTCCAACTGCCCAGTAGCATCCTTCACGAGCCTCCTCCACAGAGGCCGATCTTGACACCGCTGGTACCAGTCATCGGCAAGTCCACTCAGCTCCACGTCCTCCTGTACCACATCACTCCATCTCTTCTCTAGCCCGTGCCGCGCCCGCTTAGCCCCTCAATCCGGCCAAACAAAAGCTGTTTCGGCATGCGGTGGCTGGGCATGCGGGCTACATGACCCAGCCATCGCAGCCTTGCCTGCCGGAGGAGCTCACCGATGGGACCCTGCCCAGATCTTTCAAGGATTTGTGAGCTCCTCACACAATCCAGTCTGGTTAAACCCAGGATGGATCGTAGGCAGGTCAGCCTAAATGTTTCTAACCGGCGAAGATGTTCCATTAGGGGGGTCCACGTTTCGCAAGCGTAGAGAAGGGAGGGAATGACCGTGGCCGAGAAGACCTGAAGCTTAGTGCGGAGCGACAGACCAGGTAGCTTCCACACAGCGTTACGCAACCGATGAAAAGATATTGCCGCTCGACTGATTCGGAGTGAGACCTCTGCTGTTAAACTGGAGCCAGTCATAAGCACACTGCCCAGGTATGGGAAACTCTCCACTCTCTCCACAACTGCCCCATCACCGATTGGGAGTTGTGGGGGTGGATCGTCCGATGGTACAAAATACCCAAGCAGGTGCTTAGTTTTGGTGGGGCTGATGGTAAGGTCCCACCTCTTAGTGGCACGCTCCAGTCTCAGCAGCAGCATCTCCAACTCCTCCTCTGACTGAGCAGCTATTACCAAGTCATCAGCATACATAACGTGGTTGAGCAATAGGGAGCCATCCCTTGACCGCACCCGGGCATCGATTAGCCTCCCATTATATCTGTACCATATGGAGATTCCCCCAGTACAGCTATTGAAGGCTTCACGAACTACGTGGTCAAAATAGATGTTAAATAATGTGGGAGCCAGAGGACATCCCTGTCGCAACCCAAGGTGTACAGGGAATGGCTCTGACTCCCGGCCACGTAGTTTTACCCGGGCCCGCTCACCATCATGAAGGTCCTTAATGATCGTGAGCAGAGGGTCAGGTACTCCAAAAGCACGAAGAACGACCCAGAGCCCAGGCCTACTGATGGTATCATAGGCCTTGACCAGGTCAATAAAGCAGAGATGTAGGTCTTGTTGGAATTCCCTACACCTCTGCTGTAGCAGACAGACAGAAAATATGGCATCTGTGCAGGACCGCCCTTTCCTGAAACCGCATTGGGGCTCCGCAAGCCTCTCCTCAGCGTGCCTGGCAAGGCGATGCTGAATAATCCTTGCCAGGACCTTTCCCGGCACACTGAGGAGTGAGATGCCCCTGTAGTTGTTACAGTCTGTGCGGTCCCCCTTCTTAAAAAGGGGGACCACCAGGGCATCCTTCCAATCCTGCGGAACCCGTCCAGTGGTCCAGACTGTTGTTATGATGTCATATAGGGCAGTCTGTGCACAAACGCCACCCTCCCTCAGCATTTCGCTTGGGAGATCATCTCTGCCCGCTGCCTTTCCTGGTCTCAGACTCCGGATCGCCTTCAATACTTCCTCAGCAGATGGCACCTCAGCCAGCCACTCACAGGGGTGACTTCATCCAATATTTGAGGCACCGGAGCCTCAGCCGGGTCATCCTCACTTTGTGCCACGATGTTTTCCTGGCTGAGGGATTTTCCCACCCCCAGGACCTCACAGAAATGCTCAGCAAATCTGCGAACCTGTTCCTGGGGGTCGGAAATTGGATCACCGTTTTTTCCCCTAATGATGGTAATAGGTGTGGCGCTGCAGGTTACTTTTTTGATGGAGTTAAATAGAGATTTGTGATCACGGGCCACTGAGGCAGACTCCATCTCCTCAGCAACCCGCGACCACCACCCATCCTTGCAGCGCCTCACGGCTCTCCGAACCTCCGAGCGAAGGCTGCGGTAAGCCTCCTCATTCTCTGACGTGGGATTCTGTAGCCGATGACAGTGGGCCTGTCGCTTTTTCTCAACCATCCTGAACAACTCCTCTGTCAACCAGGGTGTCTGGGGAGGTCTGGACCGCGTACCCAAAGCAGCCATTGCAGCTGCATGAGTCACAGTCCTAAACCTCTCCCATTTACCCTCGACATCAGGAGGAGTCGGGGACGATGCCAATCCCAGCCGCAAGCGATGATGAAATTCTCGCTTGCAACTTTCATCAGATAACTGAGACCAGGCCACTTTAGGTTGGAATGGGGTCCTGGGTGTACACCCACCACCGGAGTGGAAGAATGGCAGGCGCATCTTACAGATGACTAGTCGATGGTCAGAGGGCAGATCAGCTCCACGGTAGGTCCTGGTGTCAAGGACATGGGCTCGCATTCGCTGGTCCGTCACTATGTAGTCCAGCAGATGTTCTTGCTTGGACCCGGCATGCATCCATGATGTTGTGT